TAATTATAAAACCCCGGCAAAATGTTGTGAAGTGGGCAATAGTATAATAAATATACCTTTTACAGCCTAATTAGTTTTTAGTGATAAATAAAATTGCGTAAAAGCAGCCAAAGAAACGAAAATCAAGTTCAGCATCACTCACACACAAACAAACAAAAAACTACATACTAAACTGGGAAAAATTGACAGCCAAAGTATCAGTATTAACACAGACTGATTTTCAAACTGCCAGTTAGCCGAACGATTGCAATATAAATGATTAATCTATCGCTTTAAACCAATACTACAAAAATCAATATGAGAGCAAATTTAAAAATTGTGAAATATAGATACTACTGACAAATTTATCAATAACGTGTTCATCAATGGAAGAAAGCTGGATTGATTATCAAAGAAAAATATGCACGGCACATTTATCTAAATGGTGATAAAAAACAAAAGAATCAAGTGGAAATATATCTGCAGGAAATAAATGTGAATGATAAATATATCTGTGCTGTGATGTTTTACAAAGAATGCAGAAGTAAATAACTATTGAAATGGTGATTAGTAAATTTATCAAAAATTGCGATTGTAAAAGGAGGAATGGACAGGCACCAGCACTTTCCCCGTTCCTGCGTGATTCACCCGAACCCAAGTTGCTGTCTGTGAAGCCCAATTATTCATTTAACGGTTATGAATACATTGCGCACGCGTCCGACCATACGTTGGGAAAGTGATTACCTTAAACATGTCTTAATCCATCAAAATATAAAACGTTGTGTTTTCTAATAACACGTGGCCAATTGACCATAAAATCATTTTCAATTAAGGCCCTTGTGTCAAGAGCACTCGTGAGTAGGGCAAGAACAATCGGCAAGAAACAGACAAAGAACAGTTAACAAAACGGTACTTAAAATGGCGGAAGTCAATCACAGGACAAAAACGCCGGAATCGTCTGCCTGATTTCTGCGGCACAGCAGAAACTTCACCGACTCGTACACTAGTTGAACTCTCCCATTGTTTTTCTCGAAATCATAATTTATCAACATATCAAAATTAATGATGAGAACGCTGCCGCTTTTCGACTCATAATTTGGACGTGTGGCAAGCAGTCCAAGATAATGATAGGTATTTCCCTATTTTACGTTGGCGTGTGAGCGCAGACATAACTTTAATTGATCAAAGGATGCGTTGGTGAAATTGATCGCCATCAAGTTTCGTTTCAATTACCGAATGAATGGGACAGAAAATATTACGATAATGGTGAGCATTTAGGATCGCCCGGACACTAATATTAAGACTCTTGAGCCATGTGAAAAATCCTAACGTTTTTTTTTTACTACTAAAGATGAACAACAGTATTAGAAAAAAGATTTTGATTTGTACTGTGAAAGTCAGTTAGTACATAAAGACATAATATGTCTATATTGGTTGCAAAACCGATATTAAAAAGTATACATTTTATAGTGAACAAATCACTGCAGAAACAAGATAATTCTAAAAAATCTAAAGGGATAAAAACAATCAGTTGCAAAAGGAGTTTCTTCACAATAACATAAAATCAGAGTTATTTTCACTCAGATGTTCGGTGTCTTTCCCCTCACTTTCTTCGGGAAATGATCTATAGGAGCAAAATTGACGAACACAATATTATTTTAATTGAGTGTATAGCAAAGACGGTGAAATTATCTAATTAAAAAAAAAACAGTAAGTGATTTTATAATGAAAGCTATTTTATGGCCTGATAACTGATGTTCGTGTATATGTGTTATATTCTTCCTTAATTTAAATTGTGCTGTATTTACTTCCTTTTTATCACCAATGAATGCTTCTATTCATGTGACCTGATTGTCTATTGCTTCTTTGCGGAAGAGGAAGATATAATTTTAGCAGAGGAATTACATATAAATATAGGGAAAACCTAATGGTGACGATTCCTCGACAGAGACACAGTTACAGGATGTTTTGCACTATTGTAAAAATGTATATTATTTTGGAATGATTACACATCAGTCTTTGCCACTTGTCTCAACAAATAATATAGCATATGTGCTTTTATCTAATTTTATGTAAACTAACCTATCCACGTTAAAAACGTCTACATGTGGAAGTAATTCAACATGGCAAAAGGACGCTTGGCAATCTCACCTGACAAAGATGGCGCTTAATTATTGATCACAACTGTCACTTCGTCGTAAACATTTATCAGGGAAATTAATTGTAATGGGGACCTACTACAATTATCGGTTGTAGGGTTCAAGTTTTATTCTCGGGCCATGAAAACATTACTCTTTTCTCTTCATCTCAGCTGTTCACTTTCTCATAGTTCTAGACAGTGGCTTTTTTTTCTTCTCCACTAGATCGTCTGCTACTTGCGCCTAAGATAAGCCGTTATCATGCATACTTGAATCGCCTTGTTTCCAGTTGTCCGACTTATTGAATATCAATAATTAGAAGGCACCACGTCTTATTAATTACCAAAGATTAAAATCTCTTAAACGATCCCGGTGGATGTGGGATCTTGCTTGGTGCGCGCGGTGGCGAATGGTTGCTAACTCGAAGGCGCGTTTTGTATCAATTTTTTTCTATCTCTCTCAAGCCTTGTGTTGCAGTGTTGTAATCCCCCGTGTAGGTAAATACACTAGAGCGGACATATTTGTATAGGTTATAATACCCGGGATGCGGAGATATTTAGTAAGTGTTCGGTCTTTATAGCGTGTGATCGCCCAAGTGTTTGCAGCAAACACGCTACTTGTGAAGACCTTAGGATACACACACATCTTTGCTAACCACGCATTGGTGCTGGACGCTTAAGAGGCCCCTCTTGGGGGCTGTTAGTGTCATCGGCGTTCTCAGTGCCCTCAAATATCTGCGACACGGTGTTACATGTTGTCTTTATAGAGGCCGGTGAAACCTGCTTCATACACGGAGGTATATTTCACAAGCCTATCACACCTTATATACTTTATTCTATGGACAGTTTTCATATTAATTATCACAATCTGTGTCGATCTTTCATAACTGATCATATGTTGTTTTGCCCTGTCGTCAGATATGTCAGCTCAGTGTTACAAAGATCAATCGCGTCACCTTCGCTCAAGTTGTGAAACGACAAGAAATTCTCCAGAAGAAAATTTGCTTTAAGATATCAGTCACACCCAATGCTAAATATAATAAATAATTTATAATAATAAGAAGAAAGACAATAACATATAATAAAAACAACACGTATATAAAATTTGCCTAACATTCTCGATTTAAACAAAGACATAGAATAATACACGCTAAAACTATACAACTAAGTTTCATGTAACACCGTCCCAAGCCCCCTATGTTGCCTCGGCCTTCTTTCAATGGTCGACAGCTGCGCACGGCAGATTCGTATTGTTTGCACTGCAATTTTTCAACGAAGTGTCCCCGCGCTCTGCTCCTTGAGTTCAAGTGGCGAGCTTGCCTCTTCTCTTGTCAAAGCGCCGGTGCTAGGCGATAGAGAGAGAAATGCTTGGGCTATTGTCCCAAATGCCAGTCACAGACAAGTTTAGCGAGTACTCACTCTTTTTTTTCTGTGGTGCCTACACACCCGTGAAATACGAGGTGGAAATTTTTTTTCATTTTTTTTTTTCTGCGGTCGCTATTTACGGGTTCGTTATCTGAGTTATGGTAACGCGGTTCGCCTTCGATACATGGCTTTGCTATCAGGTTCATATCAAACATACGCTACAAAATTAATTCACTTAAATCTTTCTATCTGCATTTTTTTTCGGATATTTTTCCATTAGACAAAAAAAAAAAAAGCATATGATATTGCTCAGATATCATACCTGGAATGTAAAAGGCGCAAAACCAACATGGTCATTTTTAATAAATGCTGTATATGGGAGAGGAGTGAAGAGACAGATAGAAAGAGAGAGCGCGTGTCTCTCCCTCTCTCTCTCTTTCTAATTGTGTGTCTAAGAGAGAGAGAGAGAGAGAGAGAGAAGAAAGGAGTATCGAACTCTCACTCACTCAAACAGTTGTAAAACCGCACTGTTTGCCGAGCGCTGTTCCAACACTAGCAGCTGTCAACTCCTTTATTTATGCTCCACACTTTTATCAACAATCTCATAAATCGTACAAAAACAATAGCAGCACCATAATGTTATCTCCCTCGACTTTGCAGCAGTGCAATAAAATACTCGCCATCCATCTGGTAATGGTCATAAAATTCAAAGCAGTGCAAATGTTTGTGATGCTAAGGGGTGAAGGTGGATTTTAAAGAACCAATAGAACAGTCATTATGATAAAACATGACCTGTTCATCACAGTCGAAGGAGACATACAGCAACCCGTGGAAAAATCTAGGACGCATATTTAATGTTATTGGATTTAGACTTAAATATTCACCTCTGTTTGTGCAGAAACACGACTGTATCGCTTCTTAAAAAGTGTTTTTACATTCAGGCCGAATGTGAAGTGTTCTTTGGAATGTTACGTTCTCTTTTGGTTTCATTGAAAATACAAATATTAAGCAATTTCAAAAACTATATTTGAATTAGGACATGTCTTAGAGTAAGGGAAGATTCCTTCCTATATTTTCCTTCCAATTCATAATAATTACTAATATTTTTTTCGAACCAACTTAGATTTCAGTCGGAACATTTTTTATCAATTGAGAATTATGGATAGAGAAAAGTTATAGAATAATATATATGACTTATCAATTGGACAAAGCTAAAATATATTTTATATTGCTCTTTGGATTATAACAGTTATCGGGGCATGCGATATGAAGTATATTTGATTTCATGTCATCTTTTGAGACAAATTATTGTGGTATTTCGTTCTAACAGAGTGCAATCAAACACAATATATAGAGAGAGCAATTAAACGAAAACATTATTGGTGTCTAATGGCAATGAAAAATATAGGAAAAGCAATAATGCAGCTGACAAAAAGTGGCTGTACATTATCTAGTCGACGCCTTGCATGACAGGCCTCAAAAACCGTTGAAAAATTTTCCTTATTTCTGCTCCACTTACTTGTCATAATCCATCTTGCAGTAGAGTTTCATATCTTTGAAGAAACAAGATTGGGTGAGAGGCAGACGACACACACAGCATTGAAGACATTGCTCGTGCCACGTGTTCGCCATTACTTTCAAGAAGAACCTATCTTCTATGGCTCGCTGACAGCCGGTGCACACCTCGAGCTTCTTTGAGGTCGGAGAATTTGAAATGAGATTTCCTAAAAAATAATAATATAATAACAAATAAATTATTTTCAATCGTTTTTTAAAAAATGCCAAAAACAACCACAGTAGGACGTAGTATTTCTATGATGTTGAAAATTAAAGACGAAACCAAAAGATCTCGACTTGCACACTTGTACACGGTATACTGAAATTCTTTTTCGACGGTATATGTACTACCGCAAGATCTGCGTCATATATGGGCCAGAGTTAGGATTGAGATTTAAGTATACAAACAGTATCCAAAATCGTAATTCGCTCTCAATTATTTCCCCCATTCAACGAGGGAATTAAAGCGAAAAAATTTTAATAAAAGACAAATATCTTTTAGCAAACATAAAAAGCATGAGCTTTTTCTCTGAATAAAAAGGAAATGAAAAAAAATGATAAAAACAGAGATAAATACAAATTCAATGTATCAATTAGTGAGTGTTTCTGGCCACGTTAAAGGCTGAAGCGCTGTTACCATCATCTCTCTGCAACGAATTTCCGCATGTACATGTCGTTGAGCTTAATTAATAATTTTATTAATCTTCCATCCTTCTGTACATTGTTTTCCTACAGCGTTTAATGTGTCACTGGTTTTTTTCTTGATAGAGAAACCAGATAATATCGATAGAAGCGTGATGAGATTTAATCCTAATATGCCTGAGTGTTGAACTATCAGGAAAAAACACAAGAGAACGGGATTAACTCAAAACTGAAGTAAATAGATAAAAACAGTTTTCTTGTTTCCAATCACCAGCAAAACCTTCCAGAAGCAGATGTCACTGTGGCCATAACCTGTTTCTGTCAACAGGGTTAAACAAAAGGTCACCAGGCGGACTCGATTTTAAGGAGATAATTCAACTAATTTCTGTCGCAGAACGGGCGAGAACAAGAAAATGATTTTCAGCCATGATTTCAACCAGGAAATCTTGAAGATCACCCGGAAACCAAGGAAAGGCGGCGGCAGGTGACTGGCCCTCTTCAGCGCTTCCGCCATTTTTATAATAAATTGAATAGAATGCATATTCAAGGGATCCGATTTTCTATCAGATACATACAGGACAGACGCAGGCATTATGGAAATTAAGACAAACCAGTCTCCAAATGTTCACAGGAATAATTCAATGTCGGCCATTTATAATCAACGCTAGCTTGACGAATTGCAAAATAAAATCAACACAATCTTGTTAACCTTATGCGGTCATACTTACGTATTTCAATATGATTTTCGGACGATCGGTTAAGTATTGCATTTTTAATTGTTGTCCTTAATAAACATGGTTATGGATAGGTCCAGGAGGCCGGGAGTTGCCCTTGACATAAACAATTATCTACTGCATGTGTACTTGTGTGCGCCTCTCTCTTTCTCTCCGTGTGTGTGTGGGTGGGGGTTACTCATTCCTAACACTCGCCTTATGTTTAAATCCACTGATTAAAATTCGAGTTTTATAAGCATAGCGTTAATAAACATTGCAATCCATGAATGGCGCTACGTTTAAATGCTTTAAATGCTTTCAGCGTAAAAACTACGAAGACGTGTAATCAATTATGAAAGCTTTTAAGTCTAGCACGCATTGGACTTGATTTAATTAGCAACTTGACATGATCTAAATTAAAACAAGGCCTGTCTCTTGTCAGCACATGTTATTGCAGTCTTCAATCAGCTGATTAATAAGCAAACACAAATCTATCCTCTTTCGCGTTGATTCTTTTCAGTTTGGGGGACATCTATTTGCTTGATTCTCAAGAAACTATTACAATGCACTGCACTGGTCACGTACTAACCTCTGATTTTACAAGTATTGGATACAAATATGCTAGTGATATACATCTCGAGTCATCGGGCGTCTTCCCCCTTACTTGCAGTTGCCATGCCGACCTCGGATCTCCAGAACAACGTTTGAAGTCTGTTTGACAATTCACGACTTGAGACAGATTTAGAGGGATTTCGATACAACTAACCGGATTTAGGAGATACAATTGTTTACGATGACAAATGTTATGTGTCTTGACCCAAATCTGGTCTCAAACTTGGCAAAAATTATGTGCACACCTGTACTTGTACCAGCACACACCGTGGTGGGGGGGCCGGTGTCGCCTTTAGCTTATCTTTTCAATTCATATTTTTCTATTTTTTAAACAAGTGGAATGCTTCTTTTAATAGGGGGAAAAGATTGAGAGAAAAACTTTGCGCAGGTTATGGTTAACTCTCAGTTTACTGAGCTAAAAGTATAAAATATGTTAAGATTTGTCGTTCGACCTTAGAATTTGAAAACCGGAAATTAAGATACAAAGAAGAAAAAAAGATGTTTCCTTTTTGGTTAATCTCCTTTGTGTTAAAACATTATCTCGCGTCTGAAATGTGACTTTACTCATATTTCGCTCAAAGATAATGAAAATTTGACACCGGTCACAGCCACCACCAGAACAGTGACGTAACAGGCAAGACTATTTCGTGCAAATGTTCCCCCCTCTCTTTTCTATTAAAAAAAGGCAATATGTAAACGCTATAACTGACGGAGAACGATGTGTTGCTTAGAATTCGTGGAAATGTCCCCTCTTTCTCCAGTCGGAAGTTGAAAGAGGGAAAAAATGAACAAATCAATTATAACAAAAGTGTGTCATATATTAAATGACAAAAAAGAAGCTTTATCATTTATATTATATTATATTATATTATATTATATTATATTATATTATATTATATTATATTATATTATATTATATTATATTATATTATATTATATTATATTATATTATATTGTTAACTTTTTTAACCGATATTTGGGGAGAGGTATCTTAGGTCATAATGAAAAAAAAAACTTGCATTTTTTGCAAACTTACATTGACCCTATAGAAGAGGCAAACAATGTTATTTAATTTTATTTATTTTTTGTCATTCTACCGTCATTCTATTCTTCGGAAGTTTCGCCTAAGCCTGCCGCAAGTGGAAACAACAAAGTCGTCTGCGTTTTCTTTGAACTTATTAATCATTAAAACAACTTTTAGCTTCCGCGCACACGACACGTTATATAACACTGCCTTTAATCAAAACGCAGGCGACCGTGCGTTTGTAAGAAGACAAAAGATACTTGAGATTCTGGTTATTAGAAGCAGCAGCTTTGCGAACACCAGAGGCTCTCAAATGAAACGCGAAGCGCTAACCTGGATTTGGAGGGCTTGAACGGATGTATTCGAGTAAAGAGAATAAACTGGCATCCTTATCCAAATTTAACCATATGTATCATAATTTTCAAAAATTGTATATAATACCTGGTCCTTTATTTCCTCATTCAATTCCTTTTTACAAGAAAAAATATGTGCGTTTCAGTAGAAAAGTGGGAGAGAAACCGATAATGAATTCGAATATTTAGAAGAAAAAGAATGGCCGGTGTCATCTTTAACTTTGCAAACCAACACACACAATTTTACAAGAAAATAAGCGAAAAATTCATCCATTTTTACCAAAGAGAAATGCCATTAAAACACCAACGTAGCAACACCAGTATAAAACTCATAAATTATATTTCAGTAAAAAAAAAAGAAATATCGAAATTCAATCACTTGTATAAATTGTACCATTACCATGAAATAAAGAGTACCTCTCCAAAAACAAACAAACAAAAAAAAAAAAATCAGGTTCGGTCATTCAAGTTTTCTAATGGTGACATTTTAATCTGAGTTTAATGAACCCAAACGCTTACTACAACGTTAACTAGGCTCTCCACACGCTTACTACTATTGGGGAAATCACAGCCAGCATAGGAAAAAATCACCGGGCGAAATCCACTTAGTCTTGCTCAATTGCGTCTCGTAGATTTCAAATTAAATGCTGCGACAGTTCACTTTCTGAGAGTAGAGACCTTGGATGACTGGGCAACAACTGAAAGAAATCTGCGTGATAGCGAGTTCAATGGCGAGGAGTGAACAATGAACAGAAATAATTAAAAGTTTGAAATTTTGCTTTGTTTTTGAATCACTTCATAAAATCGATTCACCGGCTACAATGCAATAAACGAGTTATCTTTTGTCATAAAAAAGAAGAAGAAAAAGCTGTACACGAAATAAACTTACATTTTTCAGGTCAATATATTTTTAAAATCAAAATTGTCTCCCCTCAACGGATTTCTCTACCCGATAACGACACGCGCCTTACATTCAAAGATAACCTTTGTCTGATTAAAAACCTCGATTGAATTCTATCAAATGGAAATGCACTGAATAATACGGAATAATATCAACCAGTAAATAATCTTTTTATCTCATTACATATTAACGCGTTTATCCTTGCGCATAAGGTTATGAGAAGTTAAAGCTATTTCTAAAGTTGTTTAAATGAAATTTATTCTAAAACTAGCAATTAAGAAAAAGATAGAAGAATTATGAAAACTACTGACATATTATATGTAAATGTAATATATAATGGTCTTCAAAAAGAAGATGTAAATGTAATATATTATAGTCTTCATAAAGTCAAATCAATTATCAGCTTTTTCCGTCTCTGGTCAGTGATCATCCACAACTGCAATCAGAGCAGAAATATACGGTCTAAAACCAAATATATTCTATTTATTTTGAATATTTACAGCAGATCGGTCAAGAATCTGGGCAAGGCGCAGAAAACAGTTTTAAAACTTCTGATGTAACGAACGTAACACTCTTTGTTCAGACATGCAGACCGGCTAGCAGTAGCTTGAGACTTTTGGTTGGCGTCCGCTGTGATGTTCAACGTTCTCTATATTCAGTGAAAAGGAATTATTGTATTATGCAACTCAGACTGCCCGATGCATCGTCTTACAGTTGTCACTACGTGCGCTTTGCACAAAGTCAACAGTTTTATTAACCGCCGTATACATGTACATTCTAATAATTGAAATCACTTTCATTTTTGCAAGATGTAATTGGCTGACTCCATTCCATCTTCTTTTTATAGGTGCAGTAAGCCACTTATTAATGAGCAAAGGTAAGTCAAATAATCTTACAGATATGCACACAAAATAGATGTAAACATAGTTGTTCATCGCCTGTGAACAACATATAGAGAAGAAGAAATTTATGAGTCAATAATTCTGATAGCAATAATGCGTTTTTTTTTTCAAGAATCATATTAGCTAAATTCGCCATGCATTTTTAACCTTTTTTTTCTAAATTTAAAAACCGCTCGGCATGAAAACATATTTCAGAATTATAACAGACATTTTCTACCGAGTAAGACGAAATAAATAATTGTTTTTAATTTGATATTATTATAGGCCTGGTTCATAGGGACTTGACAACAGTCTTGCGTGCTGTCTATCACGAGCCCTGAATCTGTATTTCTAGAATTAGGCACACCTGTACGCCGCCAGGTGTATGAAGAGAGAGAGAGAAGGGGGAAAGAGCTTGGAATGCTCAAAGTTCTTAACTGATCTCTATAATTAACCACTCGACTGTTACAAATCTCACTAAAGTCGCTACTCGTTCTGCACTGCGAGGAACGCAGGTGTCACCGAAGAGAAGAAAACGACAGAGTGCGAGAGAAAACAAACCAAAAATCGCGGAGGTGCTAAATCAAACAAAAATAAACTAAATTACAAGAAGGGCCCATATGAATATTGCATTGCTTGGCTTGGCTTTGAAACGCTTTCGGTTTAATTTTAAAATTCTTATTGTTAACTGGATGAAAAATAAGCATCGCACTGAAAAAGATGAAAATATCATCCAAACTTACACCTACAAAATGTACGCCCTCTCTCGTTCTTTACTCCCTTCTCCTAAAATTCACACTCATGGTTTTTTATATGCATATTTTTTATGTTGTTGATAAAACGTCCGTGGTTATATTTATGCTGATATCAACGTTATCCAAACCTCAAGAAACTACTGTCGCGCGTATCCACAACAGACTACCAAACAGTGTTTTCATTAAAAATACTAATCGTATTTTGAGATATCCAAAATCTTTTTATCACAAAGATATGCAAAATCCTTTACCTTGCTGCATCGGGTAAGATATAGAAAACTTACCGTATCAAAATTTCGACATGTCGACGTTAACAGACCAAAGAAAGGTGTACCTTCTCCGAGCTCCTCGACATAAAAGGCTAAGAACGCTACAGTAGTCGAAAGCATAATCAGACGTCTTCTTGGCAACACCGTTACAAATCATGCGGTAATTTCTATTAAGGTGGTTTTAATACTCACAATCAAATGCAGCGCGGATTTCAAAGCGAAGACCAATTAATCACACGATAAACGGATCAGTCGGAATATCGCAGTGTAATTTCTGTGTTTTCCATTGAAATTTTATTTACTTATAAACAGCTTAGCGGGCCAGAGAAGTCTCATGAGGCTCAGATTGTGCGGGTATTGACAGATTCGTGATTATCGTAACTTGCTCTTTTAAAAACGCCTCCGAACAATTAGACCGGAATTTCGAGTGTTTGCTTGCCCCGGTACCCAAGTATAAATAAATCGGGTCTGAAAGACCGTGGACTTATTAATCATATCATATCGTATACAAACATAACACCTTGTGTTCCCTTTTTAGAATATGATTTTATAATATGTAGAAAAAAAACTTTTTTCATTTTATACTTATGAATAATATTATATTAACAATCTTGTATCTAAGTAATTTTGAATAATTATAGTGAATTGTTCTCTTTACAGCCCCGTAGTATCAGAGTATAAAAGTATATTGCTACAAAAAATTCAATCATTAAACTTTTAACAAAATATGGTAGAGAGACCCAGCTTTGGTTTATGGGGGTATCGACGTTGCATCATTTGCAGACTCTAATACTGCACGTCTCTCTCAGCTTTCCTCAGTCAGTTTCGATATCAAATCTACCCAGGTTAGGCGATTCACATTTTTTTCATAAATCAGTTTCATTTTTATCTTCCCACAATATGTCAGCTGTTATTCTGTTGAGGAGGTTAGTTAATCATATTGTCTTACCTGTGTTTACGTGATCATAGGCCCTGGACTCGTGGTTCGCAGGTAAGACATTGCAGTTTGGGTCCATAGTCAGACTGTCGGTGGCTGGGTAAATCCTTTTCTTCTGTTCGCCGCCGACAGTAAGTGATACAGCGAGGAGGCTATCTTCTTCTACGAGAAGTGATCCTATAGTTCTATCACGCGTGTTTTTATCGCAATGACAGCACGGTTGGTGTATGACAGCTTTCAACCCGGCTTCACGGCCAGGCTGCAGTGTAGCTAGTGTCACCGTTATAGTCTCCGTCCCTGTGACAAAACACTGTCACCGGGGTGGACTAAATAGCGTCTTGGAGCAGCGTCCGTCGAAGATCATTCGCCGCAGAGGAGGGGACCGGTGTTCAATATTCATAGTTGACCCTGTAAACTTAAAGGCTTATAAATCACAGTGCGCATGCTCAGGGTGGGATGTCGCTCAGCGATCTGTCCCTCCAGTGAGATTAAGATGTTAAAGATCACGACACTTCACACCTTTAGAGCGCTATCCGCAGTGCTAAGTAAGAGGGGAAAACGCATTGTTATTTGCAGCTGGGAGTAAATTGAAAGCGATCGGGTTTCAACGTCAAAGCACCGTTTGCGGTGAAGAAGTTGATTAATGAAGCACGCTCTCAGTTTCAGTAGCGTTGTGAATATTGAAAACAAAACAACCCTCTGCCGGGGAAGGTAATGTGCAGTTTTCCGGACTTAATGATAATAAAATTAATAACACACGCTTCTCCTTCTAAAGGATCAACTAAAAAAAATGATGGAAAAATAAAAGTAAAAAAGTGTCATTACGAAATTATCCTTTCACTTTTCACATTTCACTATATATAGCATTTTCAATCAAGAAAATCAAATCAATTCTTGTCCCTTTTACCATCAAGTCAATTCTATGATAAAAAATCGTGTAAAAAAAATAAGACCTGGTTACGTTCGACATAATTTGAACTGATGTGACTCATTTGGTTAGATTTTGTCACCTATGTTTCAAAACCCTTCCCTTAATACAATATTCTAGGTTAAAGTCGATTTTTTGGATCGTCATTATTCATTTGTTCTCTTCCAGATTGGCAATTTTCATAATTTCATTTTAGAACCGCTCTCCGAGTTGCCCATTTTCACAATTTCATTTTAACCCCCCCCCCCCTAAAAATATATTTTCCTCTTATCTAATTCGAATTTCTTATTTGATACATGTTGATATCTAGACTTGTGAAGATTCTTTTAGACAAAATAGCTATAGACAAAAGAATCGTCACAAGTCTATTATAATAACATAGCTAATGAAACTGTTCTACACTATGTTGATATCTGTTCTTACACGAGATACAATTATCATTTTTAAAGCAATGTTCGAAATAATTGTTAAACTTATCGTATTAAGACAAGTATATTTTTATTTTTTATTTTTCCACGCGTTGTCTTTCATTATTAATTTGTTTGTCTAATTGTTTGAATATCTAGTTTTTCTAAATGTATAAATTTCGTGTTTTAGAATTTTCTTGAATTTTTACGTGAAGTTTTCACCCCCCCCCCCTTTTTTTAATAAGCAAGGAGAATACAGTATAAAAAATCAATGCAAAAATCAGTTTCATTTTTTTTCCTGCAAGGCTTGTTTGAAAATGAATAAACTGCTTTCATTATGTAACTTAATTCTGATTACTTGCTCGTAAGGTACGAATGCTGTTGACACATTCGAAATTGAAATCCTGGTTCTCAAAAAGTCAACACGGATATTACAAAAAGAGAAAAATATACATCATGAACGACCAGAACCTCATTTCGTCAAATGGAAAGCTAGATACGAAAATTAACTTCTATTAAAAAATAAAAGCTAGAGTTGCTTGGTACAAGTCTAAAATGTTATAGCCTATTTTATTCAAGAAAAGAAAAACAATTTCTTTTTTGTTTACAGTTATACAATTTACTTGCACGAGGGGAAATATTATACTTTTTAGGTAAGTCAACTCATTTAATTCTAAATGTCACGTCAAGTTACATTTCTAATTTATTGAATGGAACTTTTTCATCTTATAAATTTTATAAATATTTAATTGCCGTCTTGTTCAGTTACAGGAAAGTGGATGAGTAGGAAGTCACGTTTAGTTTCGAGAATTATCTAATGAAAACATTATGGAAAATCCACTTCAGCAAAAGCACGCGAAAACGCTGGCTTTTGTAAACAGATCTAGAAGGAGAATCACACACTCTCTCTCTCTCTCTCTTTCTGTTTCTCTCTTGCTCTCTCTTAATCCCGCCTCTCCCTCTCCAACAAATACCGTGCTCAAGTTGTGATCTGAAGCAACTTCGAAGGTGATATAACAGGAAAGAAATCGTCTGCAATATTGGTATAGCGTGCCAAACATGAATATGTCTGCTTGAATCTGCGTCATTAATTACGGAAGTGTCAAACCTGCAGATTTGTCTCACCCAAGGTGTTCGTGCTATAGGCAGGTGCTAAAGCACTATGGAAGATGTCTTTAAGTACACATTGTCAGCATTGCAGTTTCGGCTTCTTTCTTTATTGTTTACTTACTTACGTACTGTCTTACTTTCTGTCTTTTTTTATTTATTAATTCATTTTTATCACGTGGAGTTTATCTGTTTCCCCCTGTAGTATCAAAGGAACATTAACGGGCAGCCATATCTGGCATAAACGCACTAATATGCTGCAGTAAAGTTATTAGTTAAGAGCTTTGGCTAAAAGAATTAAAACGCCAAATGGTCCTTGTTTTCAGTTTCTCAGAAACGCTTTCGGCGTCTGCATTCATGTACAGCACTTGTGTAGAAAAGGCCTTTGAAGAAAACTATCACATAGTCCAATTACAATTTCAAACGCGGTGATTACCAGAATATGCTGTCTACGCTCTCTCTCTTGGGTATTGCTTTACGAATAAATATCCATACCCTCCTGATTATGAGGGAATCTTTCTCAAACAAGTCTGCTCTGTCACCTTACAAACCAAGATTTTTTTTTTGCGGGAAATTATTCCATAAATTCCGAGTGATTTAGACCAAAAGAAAATTCCTCCTGTCGTCTTAATAAAGGGTTCAACAATGCCTTGGATTGTGAACCATCGATTCTTTGTAAAATACCAAGGTTTATATTTTAAAATTTTTTGGTCAGTGAGATAGCTTAAATATTTTGTAAGAATTATATTAAAATATACATTTCTGGATACTCTGTACATACGAAGGGTTAAGACAAGGCACATGACTCGTGATAAGAGCGGGACGAGATATCAGACAAATGATAAAACTATAAATAATCACTCTGAAAATAATCCTCGAACGATTGTGCGTCAACCTAGATATATTTTCACACTTGTAGAAGATAAGTAGAACAGTGAGAGGGTATCTTTCATATACCATATTTCTTTATTGTCCCAAATATAGGAGATTCCATACTGCGACAGAGAAAAACAAAACCGACTGGTATGACGTTGTTGTGACTTCAATATTACTAGGGATTACAAGTGCGTTACGCAGGGCAGTTTCTTAAGCCTTTTTTCTTTATCAATAAATCTCCTCCCTACTTTTATCAAATTTTTATTTTCAAGCTTGCCTCAACATAACAAATCTCGAGATAAACATCAGAGACGAATATTATGAAATCGTGTCCTCAAATGTATCGACTCAAATTTGTTGATAATGTTAACTCCCCTTTTGCCGAAAGCAACGCAAAATTTTGTCATGCTTTAAAAAAATGCTGTATGTATATAAAAATTTATAATGACACAATTTTTCGGCTAACAAATCCTTTTTCACTTGGAAAGGGAAGTTCAGATGCATAAGAGCATATCCGCTACACGCATCACGGACACCCGAGTGTGGTAGAGAAAATGAATGACGCAGAGCTCTACTAGCACATTTCCATTTCCGAGTACAAGTAAAGGCGTTTAAGATTCCCACTCAAGACCAAACGAAATATCATACATTTTTTAAATAAATAAATATAACATCACAAATCCATATAAAACACGTTATTATAACGGCAATTTTATGATAATGACCAGTGGATGCATTTTTCTGACTAAAAACAAACTCTTTTCTATGCCATTTCTCAAGGTGGGTCAGCAAAAAAGAATGAAAATGTTCACTTTTTTAAAAATATTTTTAAAACATCCCCACTTTTATGCTGCCGGCCAAATGCCTGCTTGGCCGTCACGTGACCATTCACCAGATGGCAGCACAGTAGGCAATACGACACACAGCCCATATTTCCTGATGAAATCTGATCTTATAGAATGTGTCACCTAAGTGTGACATTGACTGACGCCAAGGCTTCCACGGACCACTCAGGATAGTCTTTACTGGGGAACAAAGCTGACATGAAGTCCTGAACAAACTTTGGAAAAGTATTCTCCATGATGCTTTTTCTTATCCCTCTCATAAGGTTCAACTGAAAAGAAGAGATACAGTTGAATGAACAGATCATGAAATCTTGTGGAAGAAGTTTTTCTTAGGTATAAACTGTAGCTTGTGAATATTGTGTAACTCTACCTTCTACCTGGGCCACAGATTAATTATGTGCACTTTTCTCCAATGGGGAGAAATGTGGAGAAATAGGCCATGAATTGAACGTATAAATATCTGTGAATATCTGGTGAAAAATTAATTCTGTGGCTCTGGTAGAGCAGGGGCAGATTTAGGCCGTATTCTTCCTGAAGACGGTCAGATTTTCAAGTTTACATTGACTGGTATTTAATTTTTTCTGTCTGAAGACGGTCAAAAATGGAGGATGGATCAACAAACATAATTTGGAAGACTGTCAGAAAATATCTCTGGACCCACCCCTGTAGAGGGTAGCCTAACTGAAATCTTCGTCTTACTCCTGTAAATGTATGGTGCTGCACTCCCTCCCCTCTCACTAACCTGATATCTGACATTGTGGACAGTTATCAACTGGGCAGCCACTGGTTTATGTCCAGCAATGGTGTGGAGGTAGCTACGAGTGTACTGCGAACACGTGGAACATCCACAGTTCTCATCTATGGGGCGGAAGTCCTGGGAGAATTTCTCTAATTTCAAGTTCAACAGGCCTGTGGGAACTAACGCTGTTCCAAACCTCTGTAATGTGAAAAGAATAAGCTTCTTATGTAAAATAAAATAAAATAAAATAAAATAAAATAAAATAAAATAAAATAAAATAAAATAAAATAATGTAACATAACATAACATAGCACAACATAACATAATATAATATAAAGTATTTTGCTGTTATTCCTTATCGTGAATATTTCGAGAAAATCAATGAAATATTTCAAGAATATTATACTCACTGCAGTTCTTGTGGGATATACACAATCAAACATATCACATCCTAATGCACAGCAAACCACCAGGTCAACGGCAAATCTGGAACGCAAGCAGAATGTCCTCAGTTTCATGACGTTTAAATAGTCAATAAATGATGAAAAATAAAAATGACTATCAAATCTATCACTGTGCAACAGACTGTCTGTTATCAAGAAAAAATATATTTAAGAATTCAAGATGTCAGCTTGCAAAAAAAAAAAATAATAAATAAATAAATAAACAAAATAAAATAATAATAAAAATAAAATTAAATTAAAATAAATTTAAAAAAAAAGTAAAATTCAAGATGAAATGTCAAAGGGAAATTCACATATCCGTAATGTTTCTAAAGTTTCACTTATGTTCTTGGTTTATACCTAAAATTAAATAGCCAAAACCTTTTATCAAATGATTTCAGTTTATATACAAAAAGTTTTTAGTACTGTGCACTATAATCAGACCTATATCAGAAAAAAAGGTCATTTTCTGACCGCCGAGTGCCATACCCCACTCCCATGAGATATCTTGGCTTGTCCCCGGGCAGATGGTCAGTGGACAGAGAGACCATCCGCCAGAACTGACTCTTTTCTTCCCCTCCACTGAGTCCTCCAATAGCAAACCCTGAGACATCTCGTTTTGTTAGCTCTGAAATAATCAAATAGCAAATGCTATAACATCTTGTCTTGTTTGTTCTAAAATTATTATAAGCTAACGCCATCTTCTTGACTATCAATATATATAATATTTGCATCTGTACATTTTTTGTCATTACATACCGACACATGAGTTACAATAATACTTATATCTAGTTATTTACCCAAATTAAACAATATATCACTTTACCCTGAGCACATTTCTTCCTCAGCTCAGCATCCAATCCGCCTTGTACAATAGGAAATATACTTTGGTCGTGAGGTCTGGCGTGCGCCTTTAAGCAACGATCCAACCAACGGATAGTTCTGAAATAAAAATTTCCTCAGTAAGTCCTTTTCAGATCTCCTAAGTGCAGTTTCACAAATGGATTTTTAGTATATAAGTCTGTTGCAACAGTGTTACTCTCAAATATTAAGATAAATGGAGTTAGTTTGCACAGTTAAAATTACAACATTACATGTATGTTAGGTTTTATTTACATGCCTTTTAAATGCTAAGATAAATAGAATACCAATATTGTACCAATCTACCAACTCTGTACCAATGCTGTATATTGACTCTGTAGCAACGTACCAATATATAAATAGCTAAGCTCTGGTCAGTTATGCTGTTATAGTAGTGTATATTACAGTGTATGAGGACATTCAGAACAATTTATATACTCACTGATCTGCAGACTAAGGCTCTATTCCCATAGATTTTAGATCGATCTATCCCCGCGGGGAGTCTCACTAGATTACTTTCAGATAATCCGACTTAAATGTCCGTCCCGCCTACTACAAGCTGTAAGGAGGTAATTAACTTTCATGTCCGCCCGGCTGACAGCTATTTAGCGTGAACCCCAAGGGAGTTAGGTCGATCTAAAGTAGGTCGATCTAATCTATGGAAATGGGGTGTATCAGATCTGCGAATGAAATATGGCTGACCTACATGAAAGCAGAGCCCACTAATCTACTAATGGTCTCCCCGCCTCCACACGCACCGTCCCTGCATGGGTTTAGCAATTAAACCTAGCACCCCATTTCCATAGATTAGATCGACCTACTTTAGATCGACCTAACTCCCTGGGGGTTCACGCTAAATAGCTGTCAGCCGGGCGGACACGAAAGTTAATTACCCCCTTACAGCTTGTAGTAGGCGGGACGGAAGTCGGATTATCTGAAGTCGGATTATCTGAAAGTAATCTAGTGAGACTCCCCGCGGGGATAGATCGATCTAAAATCTATGGGAATAGAGCCTAGGAGCTGTGATTTAATCTGTGCAGAGGCGGGGAGACCATCAGCGGATTAGTTGGCTCTGCTTTTATGTGGGTCGGCCATATCCGATTCGCTGATCATTTAGTTGACAGATCAACTTGTTCTAAATGCCTTCGGTGATGTACAAACCTCCACATGGCTTCCTCCACTCTAGGTCCTGTAGTTGTACTGTGAACCACATCATCTAACTGCATGATTATGTCAGCACCTGGAACACAAAAGGTAAACTTCTGCCTGGGACTTTTGTGCTTTTAAACTTAAGTTTTGTTTTAACTTAAGATGATAGTATTATCTCATATTATAATTATACCTTTTGTAGAATTTTAGACCTCTATTAAGTCAATATATTAGTGTTGTTATAGTACCTAGCAGTAGTGGTACAATGTAAAAAATAAAAAAAGACCAAGTCTGAACAGACACTGCAAAGTGTTTAACAACTAACCAATGGAATTCTGTATTTCAATAGATTTTTCTGGAGTTAGCATCATTGTAGAGCCATCATGTGGTGACTCAAACTTTACGCCTTCTTCTGTGATCTCTGCCAGCTTTAATAAAGATACCATCTGAAAACCTCCGCTGTCCTGAAATTGGGAAGCAATATTTATTCATTTTGTGGAACATAATTACAACTATTCTACTTTACTTCAACTACAATGAAATGCAATTTACAAATCCCACTCTTTTTTAATTATTTGAATCAATTTTGTATGTGTTTCTCCAGGTTCAAGTTATATGTAAACAAGCGACATCTTGTTGCTTACCGTGAGCAAGTTTCGGTTCCAGTTCATAAACTTATGTAGACCTCCTGCCTTTTCAAGCAACTCTGGACCCTATGAATGATAATACAAAACCAATCAAATATAGTACATTAGACATGATACAAAAAGAAACTATATTCAACAAGTAGTTTTAAAGTGCAAAATATACAATTTCATGAAATAAAGAATTTTAAGATGATATCAGCAAACCGTGGCCATGTACTTCTTCCATCAAGTACAGAATTGGCTGATAGATTTTAAAGTGATAGTGCCAGTTAAACTCAACCAAGACGGGATACTTGATTTTAATTTTACACCAAATAAAACAATATTAAGTTGTAGTGCACAGCTCTGAATATTTTAATATAAATCATGTTCAATCAAATCTTATTTACCCAGTATTTTTTCATAAGAGACACGTGTGTAAAGCAATTTTTTAAAAAATAAATTATTATTATTATTATTATTATTATTATTATTACCGGTCTGTGCCCTAGGTGGTAGGTATTGCCAAGAATAATTTGACAGTCCATTTCTTCTAACTGATCTGGTAACATCGCCTTCAAAGTACCCTGTGTCCCGACCGGCATAAACACGGGGGTATCCACTTCATGATGTGGCAGAATTAGCTTACTTACTCTTGCCTTAGTGGTTGAACACTCCGCTAAAACTTTGAAGCTTAACGCATGTGCTTTTCTCGTGGCAGACATGGCTGTCAACTTCCGCTTTTCGCTAAAAATACAATCCAATCAAAATCAGTGTTACAATCTCTACAGTGTTAAATGATTGTTTTGGGGTATATTCACTCATTTTTAAAGGGTGGGAAGTGAGAAAAATTATATTTAAAAACTCAACCATACATTGATCGTAGCAATCACATGCACAGAAGTAATTTGGCTTACAACTTTGAGAACTTTCGATTTTTTTCAACTGACCAATCACAAAACCGATTATAATATCAACAAGCGCATGCGTGTCACGTTGCCGTAATATGGCTTCCGCAAGTGCAGGTGCTTCCGCGAATGCAGACCTCCCGGAATTTCGAGACGACGATATGGTTAAATGGAAGGCAATTTCACTTACACACGTAGACTATCCAGAAGGTGGGCTGGCGGTGGATTTGTTCCTAATAAGATACTCTTCCTTAGCTTCACACAGGCACTACTGGCGCTGCCACCTTGATTTTGATTTCTGCCGTTTTTTTAGATGAATGGGATTTATAAGTAAAAACTCCAGCGGAGATATAAATATATTTCAGAGGGGCTATGTCAACGAGTTCTTGCTTTTGTTTGTCAAAGACAAATGTTACATTTACACTATGGCCTATGAAAATAGTTATAAGAAATTTTGGCCACAAGGAATAGAGTTATGTATGAATGTAATAAAGCCAGACAACACGAAATCCATGCGTTAGCACTCCTGTTGACGGTTTTTGTTAGAAGGGGCTACATGTCAAAATCGTCAACAGGAGTGCTAACGCATGAATTTCATGCACAGTTGTGGAGATGAGTTTTATTAATATCACCCAGGAATTTAAATTATAATATAAGGCTTAGCTTTAAGATTATACAGTATGCTGCCTCCTTCAAAAATTACAAAAAAGATCATTAAAATGAATAAGTTAGACAATTCTACAATGTTTTTTTCAAGATATTTTTAGTCCATGCAAATCTTATTTGAATGGCAGACAAAAATGAACATGATTATCAAACATAAAAAATCTGTTAGTAATTGCCACACAGATTAATTTGGATGGAAGAGACTGATAAAAAACTGCCAGGTAACTGAATTTAATAAAATCAAAGACTTACAATGTGTATATTTGGGGGCATATTGCATAAGTTGTTAAGTAAAAAAAAAAAAAAGAAAAAAAATATTTATTTCTTGTTATAACCCTCAACTCTTTTTCAGGTGATATATTTGGATTCCTTTTGGCTTGCTCCAGTCTCCTCCCTGTTTTCATATTGGGATCCTTCTTCACACTGATTATTTTTAGAAGAGACTTGCATACAGTAAGTGAAATGCTGAGGTTAATTCATTTAATACTGTAGTTGAAGAGATGAATGATGATTCAAATACACGCGCACACGCACACACACACACACAGGCAAGCATGCGTGCAGGCACCCCCTTTCTCACAGAAAAAAAGGTTAACCTGTTATATTTTTTATCAGCTGTCACAGTATTATTCCCCAATTATTTTCCATCTTTTTTATGGACATTATTGATTTCATTATAGATTTCATTTTGGAATTTTGTGAATGGAAAATCTGGAAGTTTTGTGAATGTATTCATTAATTAATAATGTTAATAAAAATTTGAATCTGAAAATTTTTACTATTTACAGATTTGTTACTTTGCTGGCTTAATTCTTAATGAGTCAGTAAATTGGGTAACAAAACACATTATTAAAGAGCCAAGACCAAGAGGTAAGTCCATAGTTTATTTTGTTTTGTAGAACTTGATTTAGTGTCACTACATGTATATATAATGTACATAGTGAAATTTTTCCACAATTTCTCCTGTTAGTACAGATCCTTTCTCTTCTGCAGGGGCGAAATAATGAGTGCTTTTTCTTCTAAGAAAATATTAGTGCTTTTATTATGATGTTATTTTGAGGTGTTTATCATGCTAATTTGATTTTTTTCTCTTTCCAGCCCGATCAGTATTACATACAGAGTATGGTATGCCATCTAGTCATTCACAATTCATGTGGTTTTTTGCAACATATCTCGTCTTCTTTTTATTTATAAGGTAAGTGAAGGATATTTCCTGTTAAAACTAATATATTATTTGCATGTTACAAATGAACCTTTAGACAAATCTTAAGGTGTGATTAAAACCAGTTATCTTATCAGTTTTTATGTGTTTGAGATCTAGATAATAAAGAAAACTAGAAGTTGAACAAACTAAGCAATTATAAAAAATCCTTTTATAATTATTTATGATAACTAAAACCTGTCTGTAGGGATGTCTATTTNTCTCTGATCCTCTAGTTTATATTCATTGATTTAGTCTTAAAATGATTTCTATAATAATAATATACAGATGACTATGTCTAATTTTTTGCATTTCCACCACTGTTTTTGGCTCTGTTTGTCTGTCTTTATGTCTATTGTGCAAGAACTTATGAACACATTTTGATGAAAAAGTCCATTATATCTCTTAATTAAGACAAATGTAACTCACTTTATTTGAAATAAACATTATGAAAATTAAAAGTACATATGAAACGAACTTTGGTGGAGTGTGGATTCCCAGTAACACACATATGGTAATGACTTGATCTTTTCACTGGGCAAATAAAACCTCAGACTTTCAGATACACAATTTTATAATCACAAAATTATATATTTCTGTATAGCACTTGTAGTGCTTTTAATGCATAAAACAGAACTAAGGAATATTCTGCTTTTCAATTTTGTTGCTACCACACATAGAAATGTTCTGATTTTAAGAAACTATAACCTATAAAATATAGTATCTGTAAAGTTCACAATTTTCCCCCATTTGAAAAGATTGAGTAGTTACTGTAAACCACTTGTACTTGTTTCTGATACAATTCAAATAAATTTGACATGCCAAGGGATGAACTAAAGAAATCACTCGATCAACCATAAAAGAGCTTTAAAATGCTTGTTTCCTTAGATTTTTGGTGGTAAATTTAACCTACTTATCTGTCCAACTTTTTGGCCCCATTTATATACAGCAGAGGAAGCTAGCAGAAAAATCCATTCAAATATCATTTTTCGGGTAATATTAAACAATTTATTTTCAATTGGTTATTCTCTTAGTTATACTATTTGAAACTATATGCTGGCATTTGATCAGCTTTAGTGGCAAAAAACCGGACTTCATGTGCATCTTTAATCTAAATAAATGGCCAGTAATTGACTGTAAACAAAACTTAATTAAATTAGGTCACATGGCATAATTGACAAGTAATGTGTATGGAATTGCATGTAATGGAGATGTGATTATTTTCATTTCAGGGTTCATCGGAACAATAAATTTGTAGATGAGCTTTGGAAATATGCAACATTAACTTTTGTGTTCTCTTTGGCCACAGCAGTGGGATACAGTAGGTAAGTTACAAACCAAGATATGTTTTCAAAAATGTTTTTGTTTCTTTTTATTGTATATATTATATCAATCCAAGAGATAAATTTTTAAGACATCAAAACCATAAGATGAAAAATAATATACTGAAAACTGTATTGACACATATGCACACGATTCCATTAGTAAGAGTTGTTAAAAATAAAACGATTTTTTTTTCACTTAAAGAATGAAAGTTTTGCTGACTTGGCAGAGGCACTAGTATGTGCTGTCTGATTGCTTTAAAATTCTTTTATTCCACATTGAAACAATTTGTTTTCAGAATATACCTAGGGTACCACACATTTCGTCAAGTCTTCTGGGGTGCAGTGTTGGGGGCAATTCTAGGGGCCCTTTGGTTTAGCATTGTGCAGTTTGTTTGTACACCATTCTTCCCCCTTATTGCAGCATGGTAGGTGAAGACTACTCTCCACCAAAAAAATTATAATTGGTTATAGAATTTAATACTTTTTCTTGAATTTCACTTAAAAAGAGGCATAGAATTTGTGCCATATTATATTCTTATTGAACAGGTATTGTATTTTCACAACAAATTTCTCTGAGCCATAGACATGTTTATCTTTTTTTGTTTGTTTATGCTGTTTTAAAGATTTATATATATGTATATTTATAAATTCATTCATATCTTTTTCTATTGAAAACGTCAGTATTAATTTTTTTATACCATATTATTTTGTATTAATTTATTTGGCCTTATTTGCTTTCAGGCCCATATCAGAGTATTTAATGATTCGAGACTCTACTCTAATTCCTAATGTTATGTGGTTTGAATACACTTCACATAGAACTGAATCTAGGTAAGTTGTAGTTGGTGGGATTAAGTTTAAGTAAAAGTTACATATTTACAAGAATTCCCTGTAACTCATATAAACTACTTATACTAGTTTGTTATACAACTTGATTAAAGTCAACTTGCCAAAAGAAAAACCAAATTTATCACTCGGTCAACCAAAAATATACCTGTAAAACTGCACCTTTTTCAAATCCCGGTCAGAAATTTGACTTATTTATCTCTCCATCCAAATTTTAAAGTCCACCAAATAAGGAAGTAATGTTTGATGCATTACTGCTGCATACTCAATAGCATGAACATTTGAGTGAATGGCAGAAACTGCTGAGAGTTATATAATTATACATGCAGCACAGAAAGCTAACAGAAAATACATATTCAAATATGGTATTTCAGGAAGTATGAGACGATGCTTTTTGGTATTTCCACCAATTTAGTTGTGCTGTTTAAAGCTACATAATTGCATTTGGTCGTATTTAGTGGTTAAGTTTTGGATTCATCCATAACCTTAAAGATATGATGAATAGTATACTATAGAGTCACAGACTTTAAAAAAAAAATTCGGTCAGCTATTGGAGACTTTCACATATATGTATTTATTTTTTTTGTGGTTTCCAGGAGCAGATTAAGAAAACAAGGCAGTTGGAAGTCCTCCTGACAACAACAGAAAAATAACCATTATAGGAAATTTTCATTTTGAAAGTGATTACTTATTATAACTAAAACTAACTCTAAGAAATATTTCTTTTGAATGTGATATGCCATTTTACTGAAAATTAACCACAGGATTTTTCCTCTTTTTATTTTGTTTATTTATTCATGTATTTATTTATTTATTTGAAAAAAAGTTATGTAGTTAATATAGAATAAAATAATTTGAACATGTAACTTAACTGAAAAAAAGTAAATTTCTATTTTGCAAGTGCTTGTATCAAAAGACTTGAAACTAATCATTTTGGAAATTAATGTTATTTGAAAGAAAAGTGGTATAATAGGGAAATTAACAATGAAGGACAAATAGATGTGAAGATTGTTTTTCATGTTTAGAGTGAATGTAAAAGTTTAAACAGTACTAATGACTGACAATTATTGTAGCAATCAAGTGAAGAAATGGTGTGAGTGCAATCACAAAATAATCAAGACTTGATCATTTAAGCAGGAACAGAAGTGTTTGTATTTTAAGTGTAACATTGTGTTCACTTGCATTGGTAATAGATAATTAATATGTAAATAGCAGGCATTCAGACACAACACTGTCTCTTCAAATGCACTTGTTTTATATCAAGTGAGTTCATTCCAAATGTTTTCTATGGCTGTTCCAGCTTTTTGTAGGTTCAGGTGTTGGAATTAGTTTCCTCAACTGATGCATAAAAGAGATATGCATTCCCAAGCACCATTGTAGCCTGTAGGAGGTGGGGAATTAGTGTTTTAATCTGGGAATCTGGACTATTTTCTGATCAATCTTATAGTTGAACTTAGGTACTTGAACTGTTATAATCTAGGTTATATATGTGTACTATAAGGCTCTTCTCACATCGAGCTATACACTGAACTTGTAATTGTGCTAGGTTTGGTTTTGGCTGTTTAGTTATGTTCAGGGGTGGATTTAGGCCGTCTTCTGGGTCTTCCGGAAGATGGTCAGATTTTCAAGTTTACATTGACAGGTATCTAATACTTTCTGTCGGAAGACGGTCAAAATGAAGGATGGATCAACAAAGATAATTTGGAAGACTGTCAGAAAATATCTCTGGATCCGCCCGGGATGTTTAATGAAAATTAGAAAGCTATGCTGAGCTCATGCCTCTGTGTAAGTGACTCTCTGATGTAATAACCAAGTTATTATGTTGTCACTCTCTCGGAGTGGTATAGTTTGGTGTACTGCTTGATGTGACTAGGGCCTTAATTGTAAATTATCAGGGATTGGAACTGGGTTTGCAGTATTACTCTTTGTGTCTTAAATTGTGTGAGTGGTTTTCTACAGGAAAGTGACACTGAATAAATTTTAAAGTCCTAACAGTGAATACATGTTTAAAAACTGCTTTCGAATTCAGTTTGACAATAGAATCAACTTAAATACTAATAGACATTTATTTTTGTAGTACTAACCTCAAGGATTTTTAGCAATTTTCCTGATGACAGTACTGATTATCATAGCCAGAGAGGTACATCTTGTTGTTTATCTCTTATGCAATATAATATCTCAGATGAAGAATTGGCTTGTAGGTGGCTTTAATCTTTTCTATGAAAAGGGTAATTTGTAATGATGGGCATAGTTTAAAAAGAAAAGAATGTTTGCACTGCTATTTTCCTTGCTGATTGGGTGTGTGTTCTTATTTTTTCTTTCACTGTTTCTCTCGAGCAATGCCATTTTCATGGAGAACTATTTGTATAAAAGCCACCGTTATGATAAATAACATTTGTAAGACTAATGCTTTGTTTGTTTTATATATGATGAACTGTGCACTTTCTCCTGAAATGTGAGTTTACAGATCTCTATTACATATTGCAGATGGGGTGGGGGTGTTCCTGCACTGCTATAAATAACTTCAATTTTCAGAAATTGATGTTATTCATCTTGTTAAATACGAATGGGTGACTAACATACAGAGTATCTGTTCAAACATAGCTGAAGGACACTGACAATTTTCACAAAAATACCCTCTGCGTAATGTTCATTATGTATAATCACAACAATCGACTTGGGTTGCTTTTGCAGAGAGAAGGCTTAAGATAAGAAAATACTTTCATAATTCTCGAGTCTATAAGCATTTTAAATATTTTTAATTGTCATTAGAATGGAATCACCAAAGTTTAATGTCTTGTGTTAGTTACATAAACATATAACATCTATGGCTAAAATGTCACAACTTTTGGTCCTTTCTTTTTCTTCTTCAACTTTGGGCTCTCATGGAGAGTGGGTTCATCCTCCACATTGGCATATTTATGGACCTTGTCTATGGTTGTGTCTGCAATCCCTACAAAAAAAGTTTTTAATGAAACAGATGAAAATTAATGGAAAAAGTGACAAACAGACAGGCATGAAGCCAGTGATTTTAAGAGGGGTGCAAATTTTTTTCTGGTCTGGGAAAAGTGCACCTTTTTGCCATTATGTTATAGACCCAAGATCAGATTTTGATTCAGTGCAGACCTTTTTAGACCAAAATAGTGATTGGTTTGCTTGACCCCCATTCGCACCCTCATCCCCAGCCTAGAGACATGCAAACATGTATTTGTGGCACTAGTACACAAACAATACAGAGTCAGACAGGGGCTAATAGTTGGTCAACAGTATAGTACTCCTCTTGCACCCTGAGTTTCAAAGGTTCCCAAAAACTTGCCTATTTACAATCAGCTTGCCTCTACTGTTTTCTGGGACCTTTGAAACTTGGGGGGGGGGATCCTTCAAAAACACTAACAAGTAGCACTGAGGACAGATTTTTAAGTAAACTGTATGTATAATGAGTACAACACTTTGAAATCAAGACAAAGGCCAAACATGAAAACTTGTCTATATGATCATCATGGCCAGACAGTACTGAGATTACCAGGTCCTACTGACAGATAAAAAAATTGAAATGAAATGCTTCAGGTTTCTTAAATGGAGGTACATAACTACCTTGCTGTTTCTGCAACTCAGGGCAATCCTTTCTGAAATGTTCCACAGATCCACACATCCTACAGCAGCCACCTGAAACAGCACAATTTTATTGTATTTTAGGGCGTATTCCCAGAGCTTTTAGATCGATCTATCCCCGCGGGGAGTCTCACTAGATTACTGTCAGATAATCTGGCTTAAATGTCCGTCCTGCCTACTACAAGCTGTAAGGGGGTAATTAACTTTCATGTCCACCCGGCTGACAGCTATTTAGCGTGAACCCCCAGGGAGTTAGGTCGATCTAAAGTAGATCAATCTAATCTCTGGGAATGGGGTCTTATTCAGGTCTCTGAGCATCTGGTACAGCAAAATAGGTATTTCATTCTTTCTTGCATAATGCTGGTAAACATGTAAATAATTTCTCCAAAGATATTTAACATATTTACAAACCCTTCATCAAAGGGCTTTGACGTGACTGACTTGCAGATGTGAGCCATTCATAGGTAGAAAACATGTTTAGTCTCTTTAGAAATAATTTACTTATTATACCATTTTTTTATTAGTCAGTAAAAAAAGGACATAAGGGCACTTGATTCAAACAAAGCCTGAGTTTTTAAAAGCCATACTCTTTAATCTAGTATTGTTGCTAAATGGTAGATTAATTTTTATTGTGTTTCTTTAACATTGTCCTGTTGTCAGTGTTTTTGATAATTCTTTAACAGTGTAAGGCACACTGAGATTTTAACTTATGTGCTATGAAAGAGTGTATTATAATTATCATTTACACTATTATTATATCACCTTTTGGATACAGTCCTCTTGGGTTATCTGGACACTGCTTAGATATGTGACCCATTTCAGCACATATAAAACACTTGGCATAGGGGAAGTGACCTGAAGAAAATAAAAACACATTTGAATATCAGATGTGGCCATGACAAAATTAAGACCATGATAAAAGACTACCTCAGTTTAAAAACTCACTGTTATGATTCCATAGTATAAATGCATAGATAGCTTATTATGACTTTAACACTGGTACAGTCAATTAACCAGTTAAAAGGGATCCTGGGCGGTAAAATCTGTTAAATGTGTTACTGGCCAGTTGCTCTGCTTTGGTCCAGTTATAGATTCTTAGACTATGATGACTCAAGGGGACCAGTAGGCTAAAACATTTCTGACGCTAACTGCATAGACACTATATAAATGTGTGGAGTTGGCAATCTTTTTCATTTAATTTACAAATGGACACACATACATAATGAAAATAACAATAACATCATTTTATAACTATTTAAAAGCAGAAATATAAAATTATACTTTTGTCTTGTTGAAAAAAAAAAGAGATAAATAAATAAAATTTGGCAATCTAAAACTGCTACTACTCATTCACCTGGTTCAACCTTGGCCTTGCAGGTGGCGCTGCTGTGCTCTGTGGAGCCACATTTAAAACAGATCCCAGTGCCCTGGTCAGTGTCTCTGGTCACTTGTGGGCAGTCCGCCAGAGTGTGACCAGACTGTCTACAGTTAAAACACACCTGCAAGATAAAGTGTAATCTAAGCATTTATCTTGATAGCAGAATGAAACAGAAAATACTTGGATTAAGCTTGTGTCCACCAAAAAGGGATGGATGGATGAATAACACCAACCACATCAGAAATGTCCCAAAAATGAAGTGAAAAACATTTAATTAACTTATTCACTGTATTCAGAGGATAAAATATTTCTAAAAACATCAGTAAGCTTACTTTGGAGAAATTACATTGATGTACTGGTAAGTGTATAATCAATATTATCATTCAATGCAAACATATGTATTTTAAACACACTATACCACCTATGTACTTTCTTTTAATAACACTGATGAAAAAAAATATCACATAGCTCCCCCAATCAACTAAAAATAAAAATAAATAAATAAATAATTACCCTGGCAGCCTCTCTTTCGTTAATCCTCTTCACTCGTCTGTATTCACTTCGAGCTGCCTTATAGTCCTGACTATTTGCCACATTAAACTTTCCTTTAATAAAAGCCTTCTTGCCAAACTTCTTCTTATGTTTGGCCACACCCCCTTTCTGAGGCCCTTTGTGTTGATTACTTTGTGTTTGGCCATGCTTTTCCAGTTTAGAATGTGTGTGATCTTTTTCAGAATTGGTGTTTGCTGGTTTTGGTTTCTGTTCACCTGTCTTCATCTCTGTCCATGAAGAAGCTGACAGTTCCTTCTTTTTGTTGGCGGGTCCACCTCTTGCCCATCGCGTCATGGTTTAAACTTGTGTAAAAACCAGTTTTTTCTGCAATATATTCCACTTGAAATATCTTCCTGCACTATTAAGAAACAGGTAAATAGGGGTCTCTGAAAAATGACATTGCAAGAATATATATGAATGTAAGTGTGAACTGTGTTGAGTTTATAATATAAAAACAAGGTCAAAAGTGATAGTAGTGTTGCTTTGTCTCAGTTTTCCGGGCTTACATGCAGGTTCAAAATAAACACTATAATAAGACAATGTGGTATATTATAACCGAAAACTAACTGAGGCACATGTAAACTGATGCTAAGGCTGGGACTCGTTACAGTTGTTATTTACTGAACTGCAGTATTTGCGCTAGGGTTACTGAACACCTCACGTATCCACTCTCACATATTTTATATCTAATATCTTTAGTAAAAATTTTATCTCATCTGGTTGGTAAAACTAAGTCTGAGATCAATAAAATAGTTAAAACATTAACAAGTACCTCAAAACGTGTCAGCCATACATTGCACGCTACTTCCGGTGGTATCGATGCTGACTAATTACCCTTTTTCCACATGTGAATAGTAAACACGTGTTATTGAGTCCAATTTGTTGGATCGCATTCAGCGAGTTTTAAATTTTAGCATATCACACAACAATTGTAAATATCAGATTATGGATCAAGCTGATGACGGGCTTTTGTTAAATTTAGTGTCCTTTGGAGGAGAGGGAGGAGGGAATAAAAGACCCAAGAAGGAGGACAAGGTAACGATTAAATTTAATGCATGGACTGTAATCTTCTAACTTAAATAATTTTTTCTGGATTCGAGCCTAACAAGTGTTTCACACAGTAGTGAATATGACATTAGTGGCCGCAGTTCACTTAAATTGATGTTTCTTGGTCTATTTTTGGTTACTCTGTAATGCCTTTTTACTTGAATTATGTACTGTATGTGTCTTTGATTATTTTTAAATAGAAACAACATTTCTGATAAACAACTTTGAGTTTCAAAGTCCTCAGTTTGCATGAGCACACCGTCACGTAAATTTTGTTCATTTCCTCACTTATCCTATTATAATTTTAGTTGACTCGTCTGAAAAGACAGAGAGCGGAAAAGCGAAGAGCTTTAATTTCTTCAAAAATAGCAGCTTCCAAACAAGAAACACCCACAGGAGCCAAAAAGCCAAAATTAGGCACCAATGGCCCCACCATAGAAGAGGACAAGCACTCTCCATCACCAGCAGAAAAAGAAAGGAAGATCCCTTCAGAGACAGAGAGCGCTCATGAAAAAGGAAAAAACTTCAGAAGTGGTCCACAGCAGATTGTAGCTTCCTTATTCAGAAATAACCCAGAAATACCCAAAGTATCAAGGTTAATTTCTCGATCTTTAGAAAATTTTAAAATGCGATTTATATTTCTGTGCATTAATCTTAAGAGTTTCTGTGGTTGAAAAATTTTAGGGTTTGGGTACGTTTTACTAATGAAAATTAAGAAAATAACAACAACAGTTTTAGAATAATTTATGATTTTATATTACATGCATGTATTTACATTTATAATTAGGTATTTTTTAATGTACCTTTTTAGCCATGCAGTTGAACAACTGAAAGAGAAGATATTTTCTTCTGATAAATTTTCGGAGCTTCAGTTACATCCTTTTTTGGTGAGTTTGTGAAATGTTTTCCTTCAATTTGTTTGCTATTAAAATGTCCTGGTAGTAAAGCCACATATATTCTGATCAAAACAGGTCAGTTACTAGTATCTGTAAGTTATCCTGAAATCAAAACTGTTAATTCTGTTCAAGCCACTAGTGTCTGAATGTTTTAGATGTTAAAAAATTGATGTTGAATAAGTTCATCAGTGTGGTAATGATAGTAAATCACATTATTATGTTCTTCATTCTTGATCACTGCAACTTGAACCAAGTGAAGATGTCAGAATTACATTAAACTGTATCTTGTATTTAATATTATTTAAATTGAGACGGAAGAACATTTTGGCCTTTTAAGAAGTTGATTACTAAATAAAGTTTTATGGTTTTTATTTGATGTTTAGGTTAAGTATTTGGAAGAGAAGATGGGCCTATCTCACATGACCAGCATTCAGCAGAAAAGCATCCCGCAAATAATATCAGGGCACGACACTTTGGTCAAATCCCAGACTGGATCAGGTATATTGATTTGTCAGTATTAAAAAGTGATGATGATGATGATGATGATGATGATAAAAATTATAATATTACAATTGATTATTGTTGTTATTTATTTAGACCAAAAATCCATCTATGTTTTAAATCAGCAGATTTTACTCAGATTTTACAATAATTTTGATAAATGCAAGTGATAAGGAAAAACTTTCAAAATACCTTTTATTTCAAGTCTGTTAATTAGCAAAAATTGAATGAATATATTATGAAAGAAGTCTTGTTTAAATACATTATAATACTGATCAGTGTCAAAGATGACGTTATATCTCATTACTGAATTATAATTCAATCTTAAATAATTAGGGAAAACATTGGCTTTTGCCATCCCGGTGGTCCAACATCTACAAAGTATTGTTCCTAAGATACAAAGGCAAGATGGACCTTATGCTATTGTGATTGTTCCAACAAGAGAGGTAAACGTTTTGGGGTCTCTGGTATATATAAACTACTTTCTTTTCTGTAGATAAAAACGTACTGCATTTCATTTTTGTTTATAGAAAAATATTCATAATTTCTTTACTGTTTTTATACTGTTTCTTCTGCTAACAATAATGTCAGTTTTAATTATAGCAAGTGAATTAGATTTTAAGTGTAATTTTTGTGGTTTTGATAAGTAGTTTCAATTTCTACATTTGTTTATTTCCAGCTTGCTTTGCAAAGCCTTGCAATCTTTCAAAAGTTAGTTCAGGTAAGTTATTAAGTACCTTTCCAGTAAGATTGAGATGTGCTACAAGTTAATGAATTCTCTCTATAAATTGATGCATGAAAACTCTTTGATGAAGTTTCTTAATCCGAAAATGTTACAGATAGGTTTTTGAAGTACTTAATAAATTGTAATATACATAATAACTTTTAAAAAAAATCTGGAATATTTTGTTTTCTTTTGCAGATGTTTAATTTGTTGGTTTAATTCTACTTTCAAACTGCTAGAATGTCATTAGAAATAAACATGAATTGTCCATGAATGTCTATCACATCTTGGTCTTCGTATTTACTACAATGTTGAAATGGAATTCCAATGAGTATCAAGTGACTCCCTGTAATTTTTGAAATTTAAAGTTGTCTCATTTCAGCCATTTCACTGGATTGTGCCAGGATGCCTCATGGGAGGGGAACGAAAGAAATCAGAAAAAGCAAGGTACACATTTTGTTGTCATTTCTTGATTGAGAAATGGAATGTGAAAACCAAACACCATTCTTAGCTGAACCTCATATGAAAAATATTTCTGATCAGGGAGGGCTTCAGAGAGTAAAAAAAACGATTGCATTAGATGTGTTTATGTGTATTTGTAAATGTTGTTTTACATGGAGCAGGTTTCTTAATTCAAAGAAAACAGTTACTGTTCATGTAGTATTTCATTCTCATCCAGCCTTATTGAGAATATAGAATACAGCTTGATATTTTGCACAGAAGGCTTTGATAGAATATAGATCTTTCAAAGGTTACTCATAAATGGTATTAGTTTCCTGAACATAATTGATCGTAATAATTATATCTCATTGAGAAATAATGACAGAAGTTATAGAAACCTTCTCAAGCATCCATTGTTTATATCTCCAAGGGGTGAGAATGTCTACAACAATTTTGAATCGAGACCAAAAATAAACCAGGCATATCATAAACTGCCCTGAGGCACAGTACAGTTGATTAATTTGTACCAGAATTTACTTTTAATTTAAAAATGAATAAATATTTTCAGGCTGAGGAAAGGCATCAATATCCTCGTGTCCACCCCTGGCCGTCTGATTGACCACGTCCAGAACACAGAGGCTCTGGGGCTGACCAAGGTCAAGTGGTTGATCATAGATGAGGCTGACAGGTCGGGATCAGATGGGTCTTTTTTCTTCATCTTTTTAAAATTTAGTTGAATTTTAAAATTATAGTATTATACAACACTCTATTTGTCTGGTTTTTAGTAATTTTCATTTTTGGTTCAATTTTAATGCAAGTATCTAATACACTCTGAACTACTTCATATTAATCAGCCTTTGTCAAAAAGGGTTAAAACTATACTCTTCCAAAGCAGAAACTGTGACCAGTAACAGACCATGTTTACAAAATTATTCTGGCTGGCAACAGCTTTAGNATTACATTTAAAAGTATCTTATCATATATTTTAATTGAGACAGACGAACATTTTAGCGTATAAAGAATATGATTACTAAATAAAGATTTAAGGTTTTAATTTGATGTTAAGGTTACGTATTTGGAAGAGAAAATGGGCCTTTGTCACATGACAAGCATTCAGCAGAAAAGCATCCCGCAGATAATATCAGGGCATGACACTTTGGTCAAATCCCAGACTGGATCAGGTATATTGATTTGTCAGTATTAAAAGTGATGATGATGATGAAAATAATAATATTATAATTAATTATAGTTGTTATTTATTTAAAGTCTAAAATCCAACTATGTCAGTAGATTTTACTCAGATTTTACAATAATTTTGATAAATGCAAGTGATAAGGAAAAACTTGAAAAACACCTTCTATTTCAAGTCTATTAATTAGCTAAAATTGAATGAATATATTAAGAAATAAGTTTTGTTTAAATATGTTATAATAGTGATAAATGTCAAAAATGAAGTTATGTCTCATTGCTGAATTATAATTCAATCTTTAATAATCAGGGAAAACCTTGGCTTTTGCCATCCCAGTGGTTCAACATCTACAAAGTATTGTTCCTAAGATACAAAGGCAAGATGGACCTTATGCTATTGTTATTGTTCCAACAAGAGAGGTATGTAAGTGTTACGGGGTCTCTGGTAAAAATAAACTACTTTCCCTTTCTGTAGATTAAAAGATACTTCATTTCATTTTTGTTTATAGAAAAATATTCACCATTTCTTTACTGTTTTTATACTGTTTCTTCTGCTAACAATAATGTCAGTTTTAATTATAGCAAGTGAATTAGATTTTAAGTGTAATTTTTGTGGTTTCGATAATTAATTTCAATTTCTACATTTGTTTATTTCCAGCTTGCTTTGCAAAGCCTTGCAATCTTTCAAAAGTTAGTTCAGGTAAGTTATTAAGTACCTTTCCAGTAAGATTGAGATGAATTCTCTCTATAAAATGATGCATGAGAACTCTTTGATGAAGTTTCTTAATCCAAAAATGTTACAGATAGGTTTTTGAGGTAACAAATTGTAATATCCATGATAAATTTGAAATAAAAAAATCTGGAATATTTTGTTTTCTTTTGCAGATGTTTAATTTGTTGGTTTAATTCTACTTTCAAACTGCTGGAATGTCATTAGAAATAAACATGAATTGTCCATGAATTTCTATCATATCTCGGTCTTTGTATTTACTACAATGTTGAAATGGAATTCCAGTGAGTATCAAGTGACTCCCTGTAATTTTTGAAAATGAAAGTTGTCTGATTTCAGCCATTTCACTGGATTGTGCCAGGATGCCTGATGGGAGGGGAACGAAAGAAATCAGAAAAAGCAAGGTAGATGTTTTGTTGTTGTTCTGTCTTTGGGAAAAGGAATATGAAAATTAAACATCATTTTTAGCTTAACCTCATATGAAAAATATTTGTGATCAGGGAGGGCTTCAGAGAGTAAAAAAAAAAAAAGAATGCATTAGATGTGTTTTTGTGTATTTGTAAATGTTGTTTTACATGGAGCAGGTTCTCAATTCAAAGAAAACAGTTACTGCACATGTAGTATTTCATTTTCCTCCAGCCTTGAGAATACAGAATGCAGCTTGATGTTTTGCACAGAAGGCTTTGATAGAATATAAATCTTATAGAAGTTACTCATGAATGGTATTAGTTTCCTGAACGTCATTGATCATAATAATAATGCCTCATTTAGAAATAATGACAGAAGTTATAGAAACCTTCTCAAGCATCCTTTGTCTATATATCCAAGGGGTGAGAATGTCTACAACCGTTTTGAATCAGAACAAAAATAAACCAGGCATATCATAAATTGCCCTGAGGCGCAGTACAGTTAATTAATTTGTACCAGAATTTACTTTTAATTTAAAAATAAATAAATATTTTCAGGCTGAGGAAAGGCATCAATATCCTCGTGTCCACCCCTGGCCGTCTGATTGACCACGTCCAGAACACAGAGGCTCTGGGGCTGACCAAGGTCAAGTGGTTGATCATAGATGAGGCTGACAGGTCGGGATCAGATGGGTCTTTTTATGTACAGACACAGATGTGTCTGTACATATAGCCGTCATCTGCGTCTGTCGTCGCCGTCGCCGTCGTCGCCGTCGTCGCCGTGCACTTTTACCGATAACACGATAAGTGAAAAACTGTTTTTTCTTTTTGTTTGAAACTTACAGAACTGATGAATATTCATAATACGCAGGTCGAGTTNCCAGCTTTAACCATCAACAGATCACATTTTCACTTTTTTAAAGCATTGATGAAAGTATATGTCAAGTTGCTGTCCCCATGAACTTGTACATTTAAACAACTTTTTTGACACTTTATTTCCAGGCTGTTAGATATGGGTTTTGAAAGAGATGTTGCTCAGATTGTGAACTCCCTGAATGAGAAACAAGAAGGACACAGACAAACTGTGCTGCTCTCAGCCACACTTTCGCAAGGTATTAAATTGTTACAAAATTTGATAACAGTAATAACTCTGTCTTTTTCAAATCCACTCTACCTCTTGATCTTTTTTTTTTTTTCTTTTTTTTTACAAATAACCTCTTCATCTACTAACTCTGTCCTTGGCTGGGATTTTCAAACATAATATTTGTATCATTGATTCAGAAATTTAATTTGTATATAAGTTCACTCAGTACTTAAAATTTTACAAACATATTATGAACTTGTTTGTTATGCCTTTTAATTATATTTGATTAAAATTTATAATGAAGGTTGATGAAAGTTTTATAATGAATAAAAATTAAGTATTTGTCTTCTCTACATTGCATTTTCAACTAAATTGTTCACTTTAGCATTGAAAAATACTACTGAAATTGATGATAAATATGTAATAACAGATGTTGATGTTGTGGAATTCTGTTATTAATTTTTTTTTAAAAATTGACCATCGTTTCAGGGGTGGAAAGACTTGCTGGCATGAGCCTTGTCAATCCCCAGCTCGTAGAGGTCTCCAAACCTGTCACGGACACCAAGGTGTCAAAGCCAGACAGCGTGACAGTGACACAGACGACTGATGACAAATTTGTGATACCAGAACACTTGCAGCAGCACTTCATTGTGGTTCCTAGTAAACTGAGGCTTGTCACCTTGGCAGCGTTTATTTTACAGAAGTGCAAGGTAAATAGGCATTTTGTCAGACAAAGAGGGGGAATTGAAACACCTGGAAACAGATTCTCATTGCATTTTTGGTGTGTCCTTCTTAATTCCTTACGTCAATTTCACCTTATACATTCATTAAAAAAATAATAATAGTATTGAAATATTTGCCTCTCAGTCATTCTGCCATTTGTCACTACTATAAGCCTCCATATGTGTGTGATCTTAAAATTTTATGTTTTTTACAACTTGATCTTTCAAACATGGTATATTATGTATAACATTTGTTATTATGATATTGAAACAGCGTAAGGTAATAAAATATTTATTTTATACACTTATAAATTAAATGTCCTTGCAGCTCGTACAACATTGTATTATATCCTCACTCTGGTCTTGCATCCTGACTTGTTATATTACAGCTGGTATTTTTGCTTGGTTGTTGGATATACATAAAAATTCTCAAACACAAGCCTAAAATGTTCCGTACCGTTAGCTTACGGCCAACCTGGTCAAAGGCCTTCATCAGACTGACGTGAATAGTTGTTCACACTCACTGATCGCTAGGTGGTATAGCGGCCAGGACCCCCTTATAAATGTCAGGTAGATCAACCCCCCCCGTCCCTATTCATGGGTGGCTGGTGTCGGCTGATGTTGATAGCCTCTCGTATTTTTCGCAGGATGTCGGATGATTTGGATTCAAGAATCTTAGTTTTTTGGTATTTTCTTACTGTGAATTTTGATATTATTATTTCAGTATGCTGCAGAGAATAACAAGATGGTGGTCTTCATGGCGACCCAGGATTCCACGGAGTTCCATCACTCTCTGCTTGTTAACACCATCGCCAGCTTTAAGGAAGAGGAGGAGGAGGAGGGAGATGAGAGAGATATTGAGATCTTCAAACTACACGGAGATATGGTACAAAAAGTGAGTGGTTTGTAGACAGAGGCTGGTTTAACCAAAGAACTTTGGACCAAAAGGTGGTAATTGTATAACTTTTAGACCAAAGTTTTGGTCTTACTACTTTGATTCTAATATCAATGTGTAGTAGTCCACCATGATAATGTACTATTGGTGTGAAAAAGTAGCTGCTGTTTGTTTGGGATCTTGTCATTAATGTCTTAAAGATATATATATCATTGGACTGCTAACAGTTGTGACCAATTTTCACATTCAAGAACTCATTGCCTTGTGATAACTTGAGACATCTTTCTTTTGGTATATGTCTAAGTTGATGCATGTTCTGTATACATTTGCCAGGTTTGCTGGCTAGTTTGTCTTTCTCACTTGTGACAGAGGTGTTTTTCAGTCGAAAAAAAAAATGAAGAAGTTGGAAGTGAATCTTGTATTTTGTGTGTTTCAGGAAAGAACTCAGGTTTTCCAAGACTTCTCTAGTACTAGATCCGGCGTACTTCTCTGTACAGTAAGTGTAAAAAATATAATGTTATTGATATTAATAATAATGAAACAGTGGAAAGTCACTTAATAGACGGAGTATAGTCAAATATGTATTAAATTATATATGTGAAAATCTAATGTGGATTGTTTTGTGAGAAGTCACTGTAATATTTTACGAAAAAAAAAAAATATCTGCACTGATGATTTTATGACTTCAAGTGAAAATTAACTAAAGCAGATTTTTGGTAGGTAGACCTGGTAGCAGGTAAAAATGATAAATCTTTAAAATATAAATTATTGGAATGAATGAGGTGCTCGGTAAGTAATTATGGTTATTGTGCCTGGATAGGACGTAGCAGCCAGAGGGTTGGACTTACCCAAGGTGAAGTGGATTGTGCAGTACAATACCCCGGGGACCCCCACTGAATACATCCACAGGGTGGGGCGGACGGCTAGGGCAGGGACCAGGGGGAGCTCACTTCTATTCCTGTCTCCCTCAGAAGTGGACTATGTCCAGGTCCTCAATGACCACAAAATAAGGTGAGGAAAGCTGCTGCAGTGACTTGGCCATAGTGTTGAAATAGGTTTTTGATTGGGTAATTTTTGTAATGAGATTGAAATTAAAGTAAATCAAAATTTCACTTCATTCTTTTATGCCCATTCTACAGCACTCTTAAGCAGAAAAACATGGAAAATTTACTATAAAAAATACTAATCATTTTCAAACCTATCAAATTGCAATTGTTTAAGATTGTGCTGCAATTTATTTATTTAGGAAAATTCATCTGCATCTGAACTAAGCCATGGTTTATAGTTATGATGAGTACTATTTTTATTCAGTTTTATTTTATTTATTTATTTTTTTTGTTTTTGTTGTATCCTGTCATATTCTGCCACATTGTATATTATTTTGATGAACCACAGGGCTAAAAGATTGAATAAATCTAATTGAGTGGATATTTAATTTAGTGAATGTGATATTAACTGGTTTTTTAGTATGGAGGAAGTTTCCATGAAGGAAGTGCTGCAGACATTGATGGTACTTAGTCAGGAGTTGGCAGAAGGAAGGAAAAGCAAGGTATAGTGTTGAATTGTCTGTACCTGATATCAAACATAAATGTAGTCTTCAAGGGTCATTATGTGCATATTTTGCAGAGGGGCCTTTTTGTCCTTGATTTATCTGATAGCCTATAAAAAATGACGAAATGATCTCTAAATGGAATAAATGCTGAAAAAATGATGTAAGTAAATGTGACCAACTCTCATTTTATGAGCTTCAGTTTCATTTAGTTTTTTAATAACAATTTTGATTTGAATTTTAAAATGGTAGCCCTTAGTTTGGATAACTCTGTGCATGCATACAGAACAGGGCTTGCAAAGGAGACAATTTTGAGCATCTCTTTTCACCAGGAAGTTCTGTTTTTATGTACTGAATAATTAAAACATAATTTGGAAATGGTTGAAGCACTCAAATACTAATAATGTCATTTGAGTAAAGGAGTTGATTTTTTTAAACCCTTTTGATTCTCAAAAAAAATTTTTAGTTCAAAATATTGCTTGTAATAAAAGGTGGAAAATTCTGAAGTGTAAAGCGCTCATCTTACAATAATAACAACAACAGGAGTTGATTATTAATGTAAAATAGTATAAGATTTTTTTTTTTCCAACTTGGATGCTGTGGTATTCCAGGGTCGCCATCCACACAGCGTTGAAGAGAGTGCCACGGTGCTTCAAAACAGATTTGAGACATACCTGTACCAAAACAAAGAAAGAATACAATTAGCCAAAAAAGGTAACAGACTGTCATTTAGCTTTGATTTTCATGTTCGTTTTGTAGTAACTACTAACTTTGTGATTTTTATTTTTTGTCGACTTTCAAAAACCATTTTACAGAAATAGTATACAGCACTGGCATAATGCCTTCAGTTATAATTAAACTTATTAGTTAAAAGATTTTATATATTTTTAACCAAAATGGGGGACAAAATATGCCTTTTTACCAAATTTAAGCATTGCTTTCAAAGTATTGACAAACTTTAACATTCAAATGTAAATTTAGCCAACAAGTGAATGTGCATAGCATGTTATGTGTAAATGTCATATTGTTTTCAGCTTACCAGTCTTTCTTGAGATCATACGCCACCTATCCATCCAACCTGAAGCATATCTTCCATATGAAGAATCTCCATCTGGGACATGTTGCCAAGAGCTTTGGTCTGCGTGAAGCTCCAAAACAAATCTCCCAGTTCAAAGACAACAAATATGCTGTAAAACTCCAGCGTAAAACTGAAAGGAGGTAAGGTTTTTTCTGAATTTTCTGAGTGGCTATCTCTATTATATTGCAAGCACTAATCGATCTTGTTTCTTTGCAAAGTTTCATGGTGATTCGTTCGATGTTGAACTGGTGTAAGCTCTGCATTATGTATTATTTACATGTTTTCATGCTGCTGTTTATGTTTAAGATTAGAATTTTAATTGTAAATTTAAAGTTTTTTGAAGTTCATACTTTGAATTAAAGGAAAAAAAACAGTTGAACGTACGGGAACTTCTTTCACAGCAGATACATAGGGTATTATCACAAAATGGTAATTTATTGGAATAGAATGTAATTTCATTATATACATAATAAATTTGGAAATGGAAAATTGGATAATGGTAAAAAAAGGAAAGCAAAAATCTCCCCCCTTGAAATGACTGTTGTTGGAGATCTTATACAAATCCAGCAACTTGGGAAACTTCTTTTTTGCAAAAGAAGGAACTCTTAAAAAATTAAACATTTCTGTCCTTAAGAAGCTGTGTATTCAGACTCTATCTGTTAGCCTTTCAGAACTTTGGATTACAGTGAACATTTTGCTTGGAATTTCAGAGAACAGTTGCATAAGGAGGCTTCCCTTCCACACAAGAGGGTCAATATGTCTGAATATGCTAGTGGTCTGGATGTGGTAAAAACGGTCAAGAAAAGAAAAGCAAGGAACAAAAAGGCTGGAAAAACCAAGAAGAGAAAGTGATGAGAAATGGGAACCAGTTTGAAACCTGAGCTGCACATAAAAGTTATTTAAGAACAGGGTGCTGTTTTTCAGCCAATTTAGTAATGTAGCTAGTTCAAGCCATTTACAACTATTGCCCAAATTTATTTCACATTAAACTGAGACTGCTGCAGAGGACTAAAATTCTGTCACTTTGTTAAAAATTTAACCAGTCAGTGACATATTTATATTTGTTTGTTGAAAAGTTTTTCTTCAAATACAATTTTGTTATTCTTCATTATCAAATCATACTCGCTGAAGTACCCGTTTTGCCCACATGGAGCTATAATTTTTTTATTGTGTTAAATGTTTTTGTCCATCTCTCCAAACACAATCGGCAATATGCGCATTGCTGTTTTTTTTTTTTCCAAGATGATACAGTTTAATTGAATGTTTTGGTACAATTTACAATGTACTGTATTATTTTGTGACTAAACTATTATTTAAACATCCTTTTGTTCAACCATTGATTAATTTTTTCATTGATATGTGGCTCACTAGACCAAGATGGTTTTATGAGTAACTTCTGAATCACATAAAAGGCCAAAAAATGAATTTACCTGGGGTAAACGACAATTTTTCCATAATTACCAGTGGTTAATGAATCCATTTCTACATTCAAAGTTAGTCCCTGTTTTTTTTTTCTCTAAGGTTTTTTTTTTCTTTTTTGTAATAATCTCTTAAGAGATAAAGAGCTTATTACAGAATAGCCATCTATGGAGGTCACGTGGTCCGATGATAAACAGAGATTTCAGAATAATTGCTATAACTGCCATTTTTGTGGAAGAATAGAATATTTTAAATATCGAGTTGTTTACAATGCATTTATTGTGAAATAAAGATTTTATACGAAGAGTTGTTATCCCTTTAATTTTATTTTTGAAATGATGGATTCGGTACTTTTAATCGCTCTTATATTATTGTGTGAGAGATCTTTATCAGGTTTGTCTCTGACTTTTAAAAGAAAAGCCTAAGGTTGGCGTCGCCGGAAGGTAATGTTATCAAGTTAGGTTGTAAAAGTTGAAAACAAACAGCACACTGTTTTCCAAGAATGTATCATTCACAAACATGTTTGTGTGCAATTACTTAAATGCTAATTATCACATAGCTAATTAATATCCAACATTCAAGATTTGGAGGAAATGTTACTTTAAGACTTCCACATCTGTGAAATTGCACCTCCCGCAAGAAAGTAGGTTGTTGACTTTATATGATGTTATGTGTAATTTGACCAAGAAAAACGGCAGTCGTACAGGCGAATGGCTCCCTTGCGGTGATGACTGTACAGTGGCGCCATCTGAAGGCTGTTTGTTACGATTGTCAAAGGTTGACTTCTGAAGAGGCCAGCTGTGCAAAATTTCTAAGATTAACTATTATTATAATGTATTATTATTATTGTTATTTTCCCCAGAATTTTAGAAATGTGAGCAGAAATAGGTAAAAAATCATTGAATGTCTAGCGAAAAAATTCTCCACGGCACTGGTACAATTTAGAAATTATGTCAAAGGCGTGCACGTGTTGTCACATGGATTGGCAATTCTTTTTCTCTCTCATTTTGTTGTTAAGTACTGTTTTTATAAAATATCTAGTCAACTGTTTCTGTGATTGACCAATAATTTATAGTATTGTGGAAGAACGTCTGAGTATTTTATTAATCCTTCATTTCTTTAGTTGGGAAAGGGAGATGGGTTGGGAGACGTTTTTCAGTCCCAAACTAAGACACACTGGCCACTGATTTTTCAGCTGGACAAAAAATCTTAATAATCTATCTTAATTGTCTGTAGAATGTGCACGCCAAGGTCGGTCCGTACTATGGGAGACCTATGCCCTTTTGACTGTTACCTAAAAAAAAAACATGCCTATGCCAACAATCCCCAAACTACTGTTCCTCTCAAGAATTTCGAATGGAGATAAGAGAATTCCCCATGACATGTTGAACATTGTTATTATAAACTTCAGTGCTCGAGTAGCCACAGTGATTCAGCGTCTATGAGCTTGGATTAAACGCATTATAAACTACTGGGCTGTGCTTGCAAAATGATGGTGTACGAGGGAAAAAGGCACACCACACAAATCTTATGTGTCTGTGAGACAGGTGTGAGAAAAAATGATAAATTTTCCTTTCAATAGAAAATGACACTTTTTCAATAATGGAAACATCTTTTTGGACCATACTATATTATTCTGGGCCCTGTATCTTGAGAAAAAAATCAAAACTTTCTTGGGATTTACTAGCCTCGATAAAACAGTGAAATTTAATGTTACTGTTAGCTTTCTCGTAGTTTTTTT